ATATATATATATATATATATATATATATAATTAATTTCTGAATTAAACTTTTGTTTGATGCAAATCTCTGATTATATAAAATGCGAATGAATTTAATACTTATTGCCTTGTTTTGTATAATTTTAATATTTTGAACAGGAAAACTAAATATTTTAATATATTTCTGAATTATATGTAAACCTATTGGTTAAAATTGTACTCGTCTAATTGTGCAGAAATCCTTATGCCCGTTTAAGCAATAAAAAGGGACGAAAATGTTCTAAGTCTTATTCAAGTACTTTTTAAGAATGAATATCTTGCTTTGCCATACATTTCTTTCAAATTACTATGAGTTTTATTGCAGAATTATATATAAGAATTAATGTAAAAGTAATACAAATATTTACAACGTTGTGATTTTGGGGACAGTTCATAGGCAATTCTAAAAAGTGTATATTTCTTTAAACCTGTTTTTCTCTCTTTCGTTATTTTGTTTTCTATTACTGAAAGTATATGTAAGTGTGTAAAAAATATCGTTGATTTTTTGAGACTTGTGAAATGTATTGTCTAAATTCATTGATAAATAATTTAATACTTTGGTTTGTAGTTAATATCCATCGAATGAATAGAGAAGTTTCTTTACTTGGGTCTACATGTAGAATGGTGAAGGAAAAGGAACTGTGAAGTTTGTTTTAAAAATATAAGTACATTATATGAAGAAAAAACCTTTTATTATAACATTATATTACAAACACTCATGTGCACAAACACGCGATGAATACTGTGGGATGTGAGAAAGTGCAAGCGAGGTGGAGTGGTATGGTAGAAGACTATGAGGACTTAACCCAGGATGGCCTTGCCGTAGGCGGGGGCAGCGTAACCGTGAGCGTACGCGGGAGCAGCGTATCCGTGAGCGTACGCGGGGGCGGCGTACGCCACAGGAGCGGCGACCTTGGCGTAGGCGGGGGCGGCGTAAGCCACGGGGGCAGCCACCTTGGCGATGGCGGGGGCAGCGACGATGGCCTTAGAGACGGCGGGCTCGCGGTGCACGACGGCGTTGAAGCCGTTGTGGGGGTCGGCGGTGTACTGGACGGTGCGGGTCGGGTGGCGTCGGGCTCCACAGGGAGTAGGCGCCCTCGACAACATCACCGTTGCGGGTCTCGTGCTGCCTCCTCTGTCGCCGGTGTGGGCGTCGGCTACGCGTAGTGAGCTGTAGTGAGCGGAGCGAGCGTAGACGGGGGCGACGGGCGGCCACTTTGGCGACGGGCGGGGGCGGCGGTAGGCGACGGGGGTGGGCGGCGTCGGCCGGAGGGGGCGGCCACTTAGCAGACGGCGGGGGGCGTAGGCGAGGGGCGCGTGCGTGCGCGGCGTAACTCAGGGGGGGCGGCCGCGTAGGCGGGCGCGGCGTAGCCGACGGCGGCGGGGCCGCCCAGGTAGCCGGCGCGGGCAACCGCCACGAGGGCGGCCAGGACGAACAGCTGCACACAAGACAAACACTTTCAATATTGCGCATTCATGGATTATCCTAGCCTTGTTTCAGAGGCACGTACTTTCGAATATTTTTGGTGGATGACTGTGGGTGCAACTGTGTGTCTAAACCAGAATATGAAATGGAGCATTACTTTTTCTGAATGAAGCAAATCTTTTTCTGATGTTTTCAAGGTTCGTTGCATATTTTACAATATTATGAATATTCTAATTTTTTAATGTTAAAGTTACAGAACTTTCGGATACTATGCAGAAAAATGTATTATCAAAATCATATTTAAAGTGCAGAATACTTTCGAAAATTATAGATCTCAATTGGAAATTATGTTACCTATCATGTATGTACAAGTATTTGCTAATTCTTTTGGTACATCACATGACATTCTAGAATATTTCTGCGTTTACCCTTTATATGTCCAATTTTATGGTTTGACTTTGCGGCAGTATTTTAAAACATTTCGTTATTTTCGAGGTTTAATTTATGATATATCCTTGCTTGGAAGTGCATGATCAGATGCATATTAGAGATGCATTTAATTCCATATTGATGATAATTTATATCTTTGACGAAAGAAAATAATATTATGTGTCGTTTGATTGACATACGATTGTCATTGATTGTCATAGATATGAAATGCAAAAGTGAATCATCCTTGTTAGTGGTAAGAATTTCAATAGTTAATACTGTAGTAATCTGTATTCAATATTGAAATGAATGACAAATCCGCTGGTCTCTTTTTCCCGTTATGATAATGTAGGCCAAACCGCCTATTGCGTACGCTTCATACACGTTTAATAGAAGTTAATATTCCTGTTTTAGAATTGAATAGACAGTATCTGATTATCGGGTCCAACCTCACTTCATTATGTAATTCACGTGAACGACCGTCTCAAGCCATTGTCTCCTGACGAGATCAGACCGAGGGCCCTCGAGGTAGTATCTCCCGAAGTCTCGAATCTCGAGCCACTCACCTTGCAGGCCATGGCGTGTTGTGGAGTGCTGGAGTGCGTGTTGATCGCAGGAGAGCGAGTTGGTCAGTGTGCCGACTGCGAAGGTGGTGGCACCTTTTATACACAAGCTCGCGCGCTCCCTTCTGTCTGTCGAAAGCCACGTGCTTCACCGTCGTCGGCCGCCGCGCGGCCGTCCTGCCTCTCCGCCTTCCGCGCTTTCAACCGCGCCCGTCGCGGCGCCGGACACCGCGCGGCCGAGCACGCCCGCCCGCGGCGGCCCGCGTCCGCAACGACCGCGGTCCCCGCCCCGCCACGCCCGATCCCTCCCGGCAAGCAAACGCGCGCCGCCGCTGCAGCCGCCGCCGGGCCCTTGGTGGACATTCGCGCCGTCACTACTGAACGTCGGGGGCGGTGGTAGCAAGGCGGCTGGGTGGCGACAGCGACGAGGGTCAGTGGCGATCCCAATGGGGAGAATTCTCGAAGAAACGAGAGTGGTTGCTTCGGATATGATACGCTATCAGCGTCGCGGTAAGCGGAAACGGGAGGCAGGTGGACGGCAGATGTGACCGCTACCTTAGTAAAACGTACGGGGCTTGGCAACGGTCGTGCAGGCAGCGGCAGCATCGCCCTGCATTCCCTGCCTCCCGGCTGCCGGCCCCGCCCACCCCCCGCGCGCGCACGTAGGCGTGCGCGTTTTTGCCCGGGCGGTGGGCAGCCGCCACCGGCACGACGCTGGTCCTCGTTACGTTCGCGCCTGTTACGTCAAGATCTACTTTTCTCCCGCTCCCGTCACCTTGCCGACACTTATCGCCGCTCAGCTGTCTCGCATTGTCAGCAGGCGCCGCGGGCGATCGTCGCCGTCGCGGATGCCATTTGTGCCGTCTACTCCCAATTGCGTGAAATATCGTTAATGGTATGCTGCATGGACGTGTTCCCGATATCGAGAAAATCCAGGATATTGAATTGCGATGGTTAAAGATGGGAATGCTCTACTTTTTTTCTCAACTTCAGTAAAGAGTCAACAAGCTGTTTCTTGATACTAGAACTTCCCAATGTAACGTGCTGCACATTTACCTGTATAATATTCTGATCGGGAGTTTTTATCCAAGGTCGTCAAGTTCTCTTGAATGGAGAACCCGTACATATACGTCAATGTGTTCTAGTTGTTTGAGGAAGCAATAATGATTGCCGGGGTGGTTTTTGTTATTATTATTTGATGCTATTTTCCCTGCAGATTATTTTCGATAAATCATGATGTGAATATATTTTGAAAAAATATTCACATTGTGATAATATTTATCAGAATTCTCGCAGGCGGGCGATGGAGCTTTTATTTTGTGTTTAATTAAAGAACAAAAGCATCCAAGATACTAATAGAGCTTGATGGCGCCAAAATTTCTAAGTGAATTTAGTTATATCATCTTTATTTTTATAAACGAGTTTTGGGGACAATATTGTTACTGAATCTGGACTGTATTCTGCTTTATATTTGAAATTTATACCTTTCATCAACATTTTTTTTCTCGGAACAGTTTTAATGTGCTTTCTAGAAATTCGATATTACAACGGAAATCATTCTGCACATTCTAGAAGAATTGATTACCGCTGCAAGAGCGAAAAAGAAGATCGAAAGAGCACTGTTGGGAGAGTTCTTAGCCAGTATTTTTATTTTTGATCTCATGAGTTAATGCACCGGCAGAAACGTCTTTGCGTGACTTTTTAATTAGAAGAAAGTTGTTACAACGTCAGGGCTGTCTGGAATAACGGAAAGTTTATTTTATCTTTATTTTATGTTCCAAGTGTATACAAATGTGTAGTCACGTACACTTGAACGCTGCGTGATTCTGTATGGAGAGCATGCACTGCGAAGCGGAGAGCGTGCTGTAAAAACTTCGCGTTCCGCTCCGCTGATGTTTTATACCCTACCTGTGATGCGCTCGGCGTTGCACTTGCTTTTGATGCCACTGCCGTTTATAATATCGGAGCACCTTCTTTGTCGTTTCCAATACATGTTTTTGAAGTGTATACACAATGTGCCAAATCGAAACATAAGTGCATCCTTGTAGGGTCATCTTTCAATATGCGAACAGGGGAAATATGAAATTTAGTGTTTTTGTGACAACACTTGGGAATAGACGTGAAAGAATTACCTTTTCTTCTAAGAAGCAGAATAATACCTATTTATGAGATTAGTGAAATGCAGTCATTACTGAATGACGCGACACCTGATTGGACATCTTTTTGTTTGTTTCAATTTAGGATTGAATCCATCTCGGCCCTTTTAATCTGTAACTTCTCCAAAAGATCTAATTGATACAAACGCCCCTTACTAAAAATCTTTAGAATGACTCACCCTGCCGTCCATCTCATTTTGGCGAGGTATACCGGAAACTTCATGTACATTCATGTAGAACCGTTCACCTCTGAATTTGCTGACGCCAATATTTCAGGTATCGCCGGTGCCGGCATTCTTCTCTCCGTGGTCCGCAAGTTTCGTTCCTATTGCTGTGGCGTGGAGCTGCGTCGCTCATGCTAGGAAACATGGACATCGAAGTTTTTTACAGATTAATGTATTTTTCCAGAATTCCAGAAACACCAATGTTGAAAAAATGTTTTCTTTTTCGATGATTTTATATGTGCCAATATCGTTAAAGTGCATTTTGAATATTTTCTGTATAAACTATTGATTAGGAAATTAAGGTGCCAGAGTTCTTAGGATTTACTTTAAACTAATAATATATATAGTGCTGGATGTTTTACTTCGATGATTTGTGAATGCAGGTGAATAAATGGAGTAATGACAAAAGCGATTATCTTTATTTTTTATTTCGTTCCTTACATTCAATAAGTATTATTATGAACATATCACATATAAGTGTCCAAACAATAAAATACTCCGGTGCTCTATTTAAGTACTCTAATTAAAATGAAAACATAGTGGGAAAATCCATAAGTTTTATCATATTTAAAACATCCATGTTTGTTGTCAATGTTTTCATTGACATCGAAAACATTTTGGTGATGAATCGAAATATCAATGTTTTGATAAAATGTACCATCTCTACCGTCCTGAGTCGCCCATTGGCGCATTCCAGCGCTGCGTCGTTTCGCCCCGGCTGTTCCACGGAGGCGGTTTCTCCTCTTGGCAGCGTCTTCCGCTGGGCGCCGCACCGCTAACCGGCGGGGAATTCGCCGGGTGTCAGGGACAGATTACCGACTCTCGCTGCTGCTGCTGCCGCCGCCGCCGCCGCTGTTGTGTAATCTAGATGTTTCGTTGAAAGGAAGCAAGATCTTTCACGGAAATATGACTAGCGATAATTAATAGAGAGAAAACTCTTAAATGTTTTTGGGTAAGATTCTAAAGTATGTTTGTACTGGCTGATTATTTTCGGAAAGCACATTGTGGGGCGTACATTTTAGTGTGAGTTCCTTGGTTTTGCTAATCGAGGGATTGTCCTCTTACCGAATGTGTAGAACGAATAAAATTATGTCTTTATTAACTTATCCTTTTTATTGTGTTATATTAAGTGTTGTCTATTAATCTATGCCAACGTAATTCACGTAAATACTTCTCCATTTTCGTGCACTAAGAGTTCAATTCTTGGCAACCTTAACTCTGTACTCTAAATCATACTTTTAGTAATCTGAAACATTTCTATCAATCATCTCTTTTAGTTTTCCTTAAAGAATGAAGACATCGTGCTTGAAGGAATTTTCCTTAAGGTGCATAAAGTCTAATGAAAGACATAACTGTCTAGTTAGATCTTTACA